AATCACGTGTCATTTCATTGGCTGCTCTAACCTCTGGGGCGAGGTGACCCTCCTCTGGTCTTCAGGTAACATTCCCCAACTCTGGTTTTCCTTTGTCTTACTGCAGCACTCATTAATCTCTCTTCCCTCTCCCTGCCTTCCTGCCACGCTGGCAGAATCCTGAGATGACTCAAGGTATCACATAGTGAGAGACATAGAATCTGCCTATCTGTTCTGGTCTCCCTCCCTCTTCTTATAAAGCCACTGGTTCAGTCATGGGGACTCCACACTGCTAACCTCATCTAACCTTAACCATTTTTCACAGGCTTCACCTCTAAACACTATAATCAGATTAAGTTTCCACCCTCTTAATATCTCACAAGGGAAATTAAACTCCAATATAGTTTTTCTGGGAATGAACCATAACTGTTTGTTCTACTTACTGTTCGATTCTTTTTTCTTTTGGCAGTACTAGGGTTTGAACTCAGGGCCTCATGCTTGCTAGGCAGGCATTCTACTACTTGAGCCACTCCACCAGTCCTCTACTTGATTCTTGAATGGCTAGTCCATGGATTATTCAACCATTCTCTAATTAATCATCATTTAGGTTGGTCCCATTTTTTTTTCCCATTAGAAAAAATGCTGCATTCCACAGCACTGTGCATATTTCTGCTAGAGTTTGCTTCTCAAGGGTATATTCTGTAGTTTTGATTTTTTTAATAAGTAAAGCTGTTCTGATTACAGAGCATTTTAAGTCAATATTTGTTAATTCAAATAGAGAACATAGACATTATTTTTTTATGTGTGTGGGACCGGGGTTTGAACTCAGGGCTTCACACTTGCAATGCAGGCACTCTACCACTTGAGCTACATCTCTAGTACATTTTGCTCTGGTTATTTTGGAAATGGGGTCTTGCAAACTATTTGTCCATTGTCCATTTGTCTATTGCCTTGAGATCCTGATGAGAGCATAGACATTCTTCTGGTTTAGATGACCTATTGACTAAAAAAATGCTACTGACCAATATTAGAATATGAATGTTAAGTACACATACTTAAGCCAAATCGTATTTGTAAGCCCTTAATATCAGGGCTATGTAGCTCAGGCTCACTACTCTCAATCCTCCTGCCTTGGCTTCCTTAGTGCTGGGATTTCATGTAGGTACAACCATGCCTGGCCTCACACACAATATTTATAGAGTAGAGTAATATAATTTTTATTTTGTGTGTTGCTGGGGATCAAACCCAGGGCCTTGCACATGCTAGGTGAGCATTCAACCATTGAACTACATTCACATATAATTTTTAATTCCTGGTTTATTGACTATGGTGTGAAAATCAACTTAGGTTGGGTCTTTTCTGTCAAAGGATTTAATCAGTAATCACTGCTGTTACAAATGGTAGTCACACTTACTCGCTTTCCATATGGCCATTTTATGGACTCTGTTTAATGTGATAAAAGTTGCTATTAAGAACAAAGGGTTGTAATCCTCATCTGGGCCAGAGCAAGAATTCTACTAGGTGCCCTTGTTCCAGAGCTGATAACCAAAACGTGTTATTGCTTCTCTGAACTTTTAAACTTCTTTGTTCCCAAAGCCCCCTCCTAATGTGGCCCCTTTCTATGCCAACTGCATAGACTGTGAGCCCAAAACCTGCCCAATCCAGGGGCAGGAGAGGGACAGCATGGCATCAGATAAAACCCCTTTGGACTTCCCACCCGGTATGCACCCTTCTGCAAAAGTAAATTTTGCTTTGCCTATTGAGTAGTGTCTCCCAATATCTTAAAGATATTTCTAACATATGATTTCACTTTTTTTTTTTTTTTGGCAGTACTGGGGTTTGAACTGAGGGCCTACCCCTTGAGCCTCTCCTCCAGCCTTTTTTTGTGATGGGTTTTTTCAAGATAGAGTCTCACAAACTATTTGCATGGGCTGGCTTTGAACTGTGGTCCTCCTGATCTCTGCTTCCTGAGTAGCTAGATGTGAGCCACCAGCACTCAGCTAATTTCATTTTTAGTAACCTGATAGTCCTTTCTCAAACACACCTTGCCTTAACCATATTTTATTCTAGGAATGGTCTGATTAGATTTTCCTATACACATGTGTTTGGTGTTAATTACCTAGTTAATTAATTCAGCAGGTACTTTTGAATACTTGTTGCCATTACTGTTCTGGGCCCTGGACTAATAGATAAAATACATAAATATCATTTTTATCATGGATTTTCTTTCATGCTAATGACAGAAGAGATAGAAAAAAAATAAACAAGTAAACATACACTATTTCAGATAGTGATAAACTCTTTGGAGAAAAATAAAGCAGGGTAAGGAGGTGGAGAATTATGGAACAGAGGTTGTCATTTTCAATAGGCTAGCAGGGGGAGGCCTTTCTAAAAAGGGGTTTCTGATAAAGTCTGGGAGGACGGTAGGAGCATATGCTGTGGGATACAGTGGTGCTGTGGAAGCACTTTAGGCAGAGGGGATTGCAAACCCAAAGGCTCTGAGTGCTTGGCAGTTTAACCTCAGCACAAATGCTTTTCCCTAACTTTTAATTTTTTTTGGTGGTACTGTAAGAATCAGCTTAGGTCAGGTCTTTTCTGTCAAAGAATTTAATCAGCAATAACCACCTTACTAACTTGCTTCCTATATACTCGTCTCATGGATTCAGCTTAATACGATAAAAGTTTCTATTCAGAACAAAGGGTTTTTATCCTCAGCTGGGCTGGGGCAAGAATTTTGCTAGATGCCCTGGTTCTGGAGCTGATAACCAAAAGCAGTTATTGCTTTTCTGAACTTTTAAACTTCTTTGTTCTCAAAGCCCCATCCCAACCTGGCCCCTTTCTAATTAGCCAACCACATAGACCGTGAGCCCAAAACCTGCCCAATCCAGGGCAGGAGAGGGACAGCATGGCATCAGAATAAAATCCTGCAGATTTTCTGCCCAGCATTCTTGCTTCCCAGACTTTCTGGTGTGCATCCTTCTGCAGAAGTAAACTTTGCCTTGCTTATTGACTTCTGAGTAGTGTTATCTTTTTCGTGACACCCCAATATTTTAAAGATATTTCTAATCGCACTGGGGTTTGAACTTAGGGCCTCATGCTTGCTAGGCAGGGGCTCTACCACTTGAGCCACTCTGCCAGCCCAACAAATGCTTTTTTCCAGTTTTCAACTCGTTAAATTATGTAGCTTTATGAACCATGGGATCACAGTCTTTATTTTTCAACTGGTGACAGCTCTGAACAGCACGTGCTATTTTCTCTGAACTGTGAGGAATGCCGTACCGTAGGTAGCAGCAGGATGAGTACAGATGAAAGGCACCACACCTCATCCAAGAAGCTCCCCCAGATATTTTAGTTCTCCAAGACAGTGCCTGCACTTGCTTTAAAGCTCTTTTCACAATATGCCCTGGTCAGTCATTTACAGAGTCATCCTTCAGTATCTAATGGGGATTGGTTCTAGAACCTCCCTCAGATACCAAAATTCTCAGCCTCTAATATAAAATGGTATAGTATTTGCATATCACCTGGGCTGGTCTTGTACCTGTGGGCTTGAGTGACCCTTCTGCCTCAGCCTCCCAAAGTTGCTGCAAGTACAGGCGCAGAACACCACTGACTCTTCTGTATATTTTAAATCATCTCTATGCTACTTGTATTACATAGTACAATGGAAAGATTATGTAGATAGCTGTAACACTGTACTGTTTAGGCAATAATGACAAGGAAGATTCTGTACATTTTCAGTACAGACACAATTTTTTTTTTTGCAAATATTTTCTTTCCTGGGTTGGTTGAATGCATAGATGCAATACCTCAGACAGGAGGGCTGACTGCATTAATTAGGTCTATGCTGTCTAACATAGTAGACACTTGAAACGTTGCTTGCTAGTACAAATTAGATGTGTCCTAAGTGCCAAATACCAGATGTCAAAGACTTAACGCAAAACTTGTAAAATATTTCATGAAAAACGATTTTTTTTCTTTTCTGGGGGATGAGAATGAGGTTTGAATTCAGGGCTTCAAGCTTGCAAAGCAGGCGCTCTACTGCTTGAACCACACCTCCAGTCCATTTTGCTCTGGCTGTTTTGGCGCTGGGGGTCTCCTGCATGAACTATTTGCCTCAGCTGGCCTCCAGCCATAATCCTCCCAACCTCAGCTTTCCAAGCAGCTAGGATTACAGAAATGAATTACCAGTGCCCGGCTTCACTAACGATTTTACAATATTACATGTTTAAATGATATTCTGACTTTATTGAATGATAAGCTAGCTTATTAAAATGAATCTTCCCTTTTTGTTGTTTTACAAAAATGTAACTACTAAAAACTTAGAATTCGATATGCAGTTCTCATCCTTTTTCAACTGGATAGACAGGGTTGGACGTCAGTGGCCTGCAGGATCCGGGGTGGGGGGATCCCCAGACTGCGACTTTGAAGTAGCGTGGAGCAGGTGGCTGCCGGTTCCAATCCACAGTTACCGCACTATGGTAACCCACACCGGCTACGAGCATGGCAGAGCCCTGCAGAAAGGCCCAAATGAGGGACTCGGGTTGTCAACATTAACCAATGAATCAGACAAGCGGGACCCAGGCAGGAAAGCGCAGGCTCAGGAACCGCTCCTCCCCAGCCGAGGGCCCCGCCTCTTTGCGGCAGAGCTCAGGCCGGTGCAAACCAGTTCAGTGCCCTGACGGACACCCCACTTTACCCAATCCCCACCACGCCCCCGCCTCCTCAATTCTCTGTTGGAGACCCGTAAGGTCTATTAACTAACGTCCCTGGAGGCGGCTCTGAACCAGATGGACTGTACTATCAGCCCATGAAAACGACCTCAAGTTCCGCAGGCTGGAAGGCAACCAATAGCATAGACGCAGAGGCGGGCCTTTGTGGGCTCCACTCCCGCGAGCCTACCAGCACACTAGGAGGGGGACCTAGGGGGCGGGGCCTAGCACGGCCAGAGTCTGCGCACTGCGCTGTCGGCCAGGGGTGACGTAATCTCCGTCCGCTGCCACAGGGCCCCGCCCAGCGTCGCCCTCTGCGAACCGAGAGAGCGCAGCGCGAGCGGTCGACGACGGCCGCAGCTCGGAGGCGGTGCCTGCTTTGCCACCGCCTCCCTTGGCATTTGTAGTGCTGTCTTTGTCCTCCCGCGCCGCGGCTGCCGCGCTTTGTTCTCGGCGCCCGTGCCAGGGCCGGCCGGGCGCGCCGTCCGCACAGCTCCCGCCGCGCTGGCGTCGTCTTCGCCCCCCTCGCCGCCGGCCCCCGCGCGCGGCCGCGCCTTGCCCTCCATGGTCTCCCGGCCGGAGCCGGAGGGCGAGGCCATGGACGCCGAGCTGGCAGTGGCACCATCGGGCTGCTCGCACCTGGGCAGCTTCAAGGTGGACAACTGGAAGCAGAACTTGCGGGCCATCTACCAGTGCTTCGTGTGGAGCGGCACAGCCGAGGCCCGCAAGCGCAAGGTGCGGCCCACGCCAGCTCTGCGATCTGGCTTGCCCCAGGATATCCTTCTTCCGCAGCGTCGAGCCGTCCCGGGGGTCGGGGGCTGAGGGGGGAGGGGAGGACTGCAGGGGGAGGGTCATTCTTTCCCTTCCCCCCGCCGTCTCCTCCCCCCTTGGGCTTTGGGCGCGGGGCGGGGTTTGGGAGGGCGAGTGCAAATGTAGGAGGTGGGGTTGAGTTAGAAACCTAGAACGGTAGGGCAGGGAGGGAGAGTGTCTCCGGCGTACCAGCGCGAGGCTCCTTCAGGGCTGGGGAAATGGGGCAACCGAGAAAAAAAGTCCATTGGAGGAAGACACTTCAGGGCCGGCGGTGGTCTACTCTGCCACGGTCTTGAGGCCCCCATTGCACCGGAGTGACCATCCGTGAAGGCCGGGGCGCGGTTCCCTGCAGAGAACACAATGCCTCCGCCCGGGTCTGGGGTCGTTAACGTGCCCAAGTGTTGCTGGGCAGAGTGTCCCCAGGGCCTGCAGGGAAAGTCACGGCGATGGCTGCCGGTTCCCCGGTTCAGATTTGCAATGGATCGAGGTGGGGCGGGGCGTGCAGGTGGAAGCCAGCGAGTCCAGTAGCAGTGGAGAGGTTCACCAACCACCACTGCGTGCTTGTGTTGTAGCTACTGAGGAGGCTGTTTAAAAGGAGAGGTTAGGCCAGTGGGAAGGTGGGGTTTGTGCCTTCTGCAGTGAGACTTTAGAAGGTAATACATCCGAAGCCGCTGCAGAAGTAACTCCGTGTATATGGCTTTCAGTTATTGGTACGTCCCAGCAATTAGGCTTGTTAGTGATTTGGAAATTTAAAAATATTATTTCCTTTCATCTGGATCAGCTTTGTTTTTTACGATTTAACACGACTTTGCAGGTGAAGTCCGAAAATGGGAGTTGGTTGTTAGCAGTTTTCCACCTTTGAGGAGTGTTTCTTAGTGGGAAAACTATCATCCGGTTGGGTAGTAGGCCATGTTGTGCTAATTTTCTTTCTTTTCTTTTTTTTTTTTTTTTATCAGTAATAATGCTAGGGATTGTTGTCTTTTAGGATGAACTGTAATCAGAGGAAACAAATACCTATTACGTTCAGAGTGAGTCTTGGTAATGGAATTGTGTATCCTTAAAAATTGCCAGATTTCGCCAGGCGCTGGTAGCTTACGCCTGTAATCCTAGCTACTCAGGAGGCAGAGATCAGGAGGATCGAGGTTCGAAGCCAGCAGGGGCATAATAGTTCTCGAGACCCTAGCCCAATAAAACCCATCACAAAAAAAAGGGCTGGTGGAGTGGCTCAAGGTATGTAGCCTGAATTCAAACCCCAGTACTGAAAAAAAAAGAAAAAGCCACATATGATCTTTTCGCTGCTTTGTTGTTTATTTCTGGATTGAGATGTGATGTGTGTAAGATTCATTTCCTCATGGGATTATGTGGTGAATCCCTTCCTTTCCCCTTTCTCTAAACTCCTCTACCCTGATCTCTGCCTCCTGAATAGCTAGGATTACAGGTGTGATCCACCGGTGCTGTCCCCTTCCTGATGATTTTTTAACAAAACAGGTTTTGACCATTCTCAACTTTGCCTAATCTTCTAAAGGAATCTGCCCCCCTCCCATTGCTATTATATTAGTCAGGTTTATCTTCTAATTTCTGATTTCAGATTCTTAGTTTGAAAGTTGTTTAGCCACATCTTTATTATTCTCTAGCAAAAATTCAAGCAAGTGGTTATGATAAATATTTCTCTCCAATCTGTGCTGTCAGCTATTGCACTGTCTTTTGGAATATACTAATGATGAACTCTGAATCTGGTTTCCTCTACTTTGGGGGAGTCATTTTAGTCTATATCTTCATGTCCTTTGTAACTGCATTTGTAGCACACTCTGGTGGCCCAGGTAAGGAAGAGTTGGTTTGAAAATAGCTTAACTTTGGTGATTAATAGTGAATGATAAGTGTTTGTCACATTACATAGGACTCAGAGCTATACTTTCAGGACATACTTGATTTTGCAGTAGGAATTAACATACTAAAACTTGAAGTTTTGTGTTTTTTTGGCTTCAAACCTCAATCCTCCTGATCTCTATCTCCTCAGTAGCTAGGATTATAGTTGTGAGCCACAGGTGCCCACCTAAATTGAAGGGATTTTTTGTGTGTGTGAGGGGGGTGTTGGGGATTGAACCCAGGGCCTCCTGAATACTAGGCAGTTGTTCAACCACTGAGCCACACCCCCAGCCTAAATTGTAATCTTTGTAAACAAGCAAAGGTACTTTTAAAGTTGACATCTCAGCTGACCTGGTAGGTCATCCCTGTCCATCCCAAGCTACTTGGGAGACTGAAACCTGAAGGATCACAGTTCTAGACCAGCCCTGGCAAAAACAGCTCTTGAGATCCCCATCTCAGTGGAGAAAAAGCTGGGTATGGTGGTATGTTCCTTTTATCCAGCCTGGGTATAAAGGGAGACCCTATCTGCAAAATAACCAGAGCAAGAAGAGCGGGGAGCTTGGCTCAAATGGTAGAGTGTAAAGCCCTCTAGACGTCTCAGCTACAATTTCACTACAGAAATATATTCTTGTGTGATCAAGAGTGACAAATTTTCTGATCTCAGGAGAGGTGGATTATGGCTTCATATCCAAATTTTTTTAACTCCAGGGCATCACTGAGCCACTCCCCCAGCCCTTTTTTGTGTTGGGTATTTTTGGCTGTATCCAACCTTTGATCCTCCTTTTTGATAGAGAATGAGAAAAATGATCAGATTTGATTACTTTCTCCCTAAATTGGACCTGAATTACAGTTAGACTCTTGTACTGCTGGATGTAAAAATGTTCTCAGGCATTACTACCTAGTATTAACACTGCACTTCTGGTGTGTCTTAAATGTAACAAATTTCTATTAATGCTTTTCTATGTAAAGATTGACAATTTGGGAAACAATTTTTTATTTTTATTTTTTTTTGGCAGTACTGGGGTTTGAACTTGGGGCCTATGCCTTGAGCTACTCCACCAGCCCTTTTTTGTGATAGGTTTTTTTTTTTTTTTTTTGTGATAGGTTTTTTTGAGATAGGGTCTCCTGAACTATTATGCCCCTGTGGTGGCTTCAAACCTCGATCCTCCTGATCTCTGCCTCCTTAGTAGCTAGGATTACAGGTGTGAGCCACCGATGCCTGGCAGTAATGTTTTTTTACATAATAATTTCTTTCTTTTTTGACACTTGAAGTTTTATGGAAGCTTGTCTTTATGTCTTTTTTTTTTTTTTTTTTGGAAACTTGTCTTTAAAATACGCATCTCTTTCTGCAGCTGTAGTACATTAAATACTTTCAGCAAATACACTTGACCACAAGGGAAGAAGTATTGTCAAACACACTATTGGCAATTCTGGACTGTTGTCAAGTCTAGTTTAATTTGGGTGGTAACCTGAAGGAAGGTTTCCAAAGACCTAAATTAACCCTCAGTATAAAAATTCTTAGGTAAAGTGTTTGGTTTGAGAAAAGGGCTAGAGGGAGAAGAACTACCTGTGCAACATAGCTGAGAGGCTGAAGGGAAAATGATGCAGAATTCTTACCTTACTTAAGGTATGAATTTTTTACTGTTTCTGTGTTTGTAGTCTTTTAATACCTGTACTAAAGAAATGAGAGCCCGGTGCTGGTGGTTCATGTCTATAATCCTAGTTATTGGGAGGCAGAGATCAGGAGGATCACTGTTCAAAGACAGCCCGGACACATTGTTCAAAAGACCTTATCTTGAAAAAACCCAGCACAGAAACAGGACTAGAATAGTGGCTCAAGTGGCAGAGCACCTGCCTAGCAAGCATAAGGTCCTGAGTTCAAGCCCTAGTATACAAAAAAAAAAAAGGCTGCACACTCTTTGGAGAAGGGGGACTAGTGTCTTCTCCTGGGGGGACCTCCTGCTCTCTCTCAGTCCATTGTTACTCTGAACTACTTGAAGGAATTTACAGATTTCCCCTGAGTTTCAGCCTTGAGGACTTGACATTGAAATTGGCCATATAAAACAGAACTTAAACTGAACTTGATGATCAGGTTAAAGAAAGAAAAATTTTCAGTAAGACATCAAATGAGGTATATCTGGAGAGCACAGCTTCATGGGTAGGAACTATCAGAAGCTAAGGCAGGTGGCAAAACTCAAATATAAAGCATTAGAGTTTAAGATAGTTTGCTTAGCTTCCATTTGTGTCTTTACAGGTATGATAGTAGCTTTCAGCCTGTGGACACTGCTTGAGACAGTGGCAGTCAGGTGGGTTTTTTTTTTAGAGGTGTAGGATAGCCCTACCATTGTAGTGGGGAAAGGGAAATCATTTCAAGTGAAAAATGGTCTTGGGTGCTGGGAGTGGTGGTATATATCTGTAATCTCAGTTACTTGGGAGTAGAGAAAGAAGGAGATCATGGTTAGAGGCCAGGCCAGGCAAAAAGGTAGTAAGATCCTATCAAAAACAAACAGGGCATGGTGGCTCATTCCTGTATTCCCAGTTACTTGGGAGAAAGATGTAAGAGGATCACCTTTCAAGACCAGTCTGAACAAAAGCACAAGACCCTATCTGAAAACTAAAACCAAGAAGGACTGGGGACATGCCTTAAGTTGGTAGAGCATTTGCCTAGTCAGTCAGAGGTCCTGAGTTGAGTTCCCAGTACTGCAAAAAGAAAAAAAAAAGTCTTGGGTTATTAATCTTAAGTCATTGGTACTTTGCCAGATGTTTTAGAAAAAAATTTACACTCCATCCTCCTAATCTGCAGGTTTCACATTCAACCAGCCACAAGTTGAAACTATAAGAAAAAAAGATTGTGTCTGTACTGAGCATATACAGATTTTTTTCCTTGCCATTCCCTAAACAGCACACTACAATTCCTACTTCCATAGCCTTGGCATTGTATTAGGTACAAGTCATCTAGAGGTGATGGATTTGCCTTTTTTTAAATAAGAGACTTGAGCATCCTAGGAGTTTGCTATCTGAGTGGGGTCCTGGAACCAGTTCTCTGAAGATACCTAGAG